TGAGTTAGTAATTGGGAGATTGGTGATAGCCATTGAATGCGAGTATCTCTTAGCGTTTGCTCATTTGTAGTATATATTTATTCTTGCAGGTTCCTCTTTTCTTTCTTTTTAGCTTAGGCTATAGCTCAGTCACGGCACGGGAACCTTAAAATAAAGAAAAATAGGAAGAAAAATGAAAAATAAATAAATATAATATATAGTATAACTCAATTTATAAATATAAATATATATCCTAAACACTTAAAATTAATAATACAAATAAGTTCAGACAACTAATGCATAAAGCATATTTAACCTATAAAGCATATTTAACTCATAAAGCATATTTAATTGGTTCAACAATGACATACTTTTTATAATTTTTAAAATATGATAAATTAAATTTGACATTTTAAAATGATTCATATTTTTTTTTACTTTGAATGTTCCTATCAAGTTTTCCTATGAGCTACTACATGTATATATTCATTTTTTTTGCCCAAGTGTTTGAGACTTTGAGTATATAATTATGGAAAGAAGATTTCAAGAGAAAAAAAAAAATTAAGAAAAACAACTTAAATTGAAATCAAAATCCTTACATTCTTTCTTAAAAAAATAAAGTTTAAAATGTAAAAAATATCAGTAAAAATAAAAAATAAAAAAGAGTAAAAGGTAAATATATTCAATTTAAATAGATATTTTAACATATTGACATATAATAATTAGTAAGAATAATAGCTAAAACCACTCAATATTTTCCTTGACACCATCCTTGTATTGCCTATATATTTTCGAACATACAAAACATTGTCTTGCCATTCATATATGTAACTTGCAAAAACCTCACCAACAATGCCTCTTACATCAAACAGAATAAAAAATTTTCAATAGCCTCTATAAAAAGATATTGCCCACCAACTTTTACAAAACAATGAAATTGAATGAGCTTAAAATCATGTAGTAATTTTAAAAGCAATAATTTAAATGTTTCACAATGAAAATGTAGTAGACATAAATAAAAACAATGCGTGTTAGTTAAATATAATGATAAAATAATAGATAAAAAATGTGCCTAATATTGCTTCTCCTAAAAAAGATCGTGTCAAAATTCCAATAATAGCATCTAAAGATTTAGCATCATTTGTGGTTGCATCAATGAGCTGAGCTTCTGTTGCTTCTTCAAGTTTATCACCTTTCTTAGTTGCAAAAAGTATATAGATTTTGGGATGTTGTTACCATGGTGAAAATCAAAGAATGCAATGAATTTTTGAATTTAAACTACCAATACAAATTTTTTTTTTCTTTCTTCCCTACAAGCTTGATTTTGATCGAGTTTACCTTTCTTTTTCTTCCCATCCCCTTTCTTCTTTGTCTTCGTACTCAAAGCTAACTAAGGTTTGATTTCTGAATCATTTATTATCTTGGTTGGTTGCAGCTCCTGTAGAGAGTGTGATGTGATCCAATTTGATCCATTTGGCATTAGTAAGACTATGAATTTTATATGAGCAATGGAATCACTTGAAAAATTACAAAAGAAAATGAGTCAACTCAATAGATAAAACACTTGAAAAATACATATGGTAAAAGAAAAAGAGAAATTAAAAATACAACAATAGAACTCCACTTTTACCTTTAATGAGAGATATCAACTTCCAGCTGATAGAGCTGTATCGGTGGACGGGGCGACTTTTATAGTCAACGCAGCTATCAACGACATCATCTAGAAGTGGAGTTCTAGTGTTCAGTGAGTTAATTAGTAATTGGGAGATTGGTGATAGCCATTGAATGGGAGTATCACTTCGCATATGTTTTATTTGTAGTATTTATTTATTTTTGCTGGTTTCGTTTTTTAGTTTAAATTGTAAAATTAGGGTTAAATTGGGAGAGAAGAGAGTTTAATGTAAGAATAACTTTCAATTTATTTGTTTAAATAGTTTGTTACAAGTTAAATTATTTTACTTTATTTTTATTGTACTACTTCTAATTATTTTTGAACATTTTTGCTTTTTCATTCAAGTGGTTTGTTTAATGACAAATTATTATTTTTATTTTTTTACATAAACAACATATTTGGTATAGTGGCAAAAGTTTCTGTATCCAGGATATAGTGAGAAATAAATAGTAATAATAAGTAGTGGGTAATAATAGTAGTAATAAATTATTGATAATAATTAGTGAATAATGAATAATAATATTGAATTATTGGTAACAATTAATAAATATGGAATAATAGATTGTTTGAGGACTCTTTTCAGTACTTAAGTTTTTTATTTGTATATTTTTTTATTATTTTAAAATTATATAAAATATTAATTAAAATAAATATCAATATATTTTATACCCAGCCCTAATAAAAAAAAATGTTCACTCCTAGAATCATATGTGCAAAAAGGGGAAACCATTTTCCTATTTGAGCTTAATTGCATCTAGATCCAATTTAAAATCATACAAAAATCCGATCCATACACAAAATTAACCCATGCCCTTTCCTTAAAATTAGTTTTTTTTTAATATGTGGCTTGTTAAGTAAATAAATAATTAATATATTTTTTATCATTAAATTATATAAAAAATAAATTTTAATTTTAATTTTAATAATAAATTAATTAGATTAAGACATATAAAATTAATATTAAAATAAATATTAATTTTTTATTACTTTATATAAATTAATAATTAAAATATATATTAAATACACTCTACCCACCGAATAAAAAAATTCCTTTGAAGATATCCCAGCAACATAAAAAGTAACCAGGAGAGGGTCGGTTTGACTCGAGCCAAAAAAAGTCTTCTTCTCCTCCTAGCTTCTTTCCAGCCTCCCTGATTTCCATCTTACAACCATCTTTGCCGATCATCACTCTCATCACCATCACCATCACCAATCACCAAACAGCCACAATAAAAGATTAAAAAAAAAAAAAAAAAAAAAGGAGAGAGGTTTCCCTTTCTGGAACCGGTTCTGCACTTTCTCTCGGACCCCGTTCTTTGCTCGTCCGTTCCTCATGCTCCGTTAGCCCCGTTCCTGAGCAGATGGGCCGACATCCAGCAAAGAAGAGGAAGCTTCGCGGAAGGATGGGTTGAAGGAAGACTTGTGCAACAAACAGAGGAGGAGAAAAAAAAGGAAAAACTTTCTTGGTGTGTTGGAGGAATTTCGGAACAGCAGCTGGAAAGAAAAGGAGGAACACGTTTGGAGAGCAGTGGCCTGGCTGGAGATTTGTTTCTGGCTTGGGGTTCCTGTCGAGGGAGTTCATCGTTTGCTGTTCGGTTTTGGGAGTCGAATCTTTGGAAATTTGCACTGCAGTTACACTGTAGCTTGGTAAGTGCTTTTGCTGGAAATGAGAGACAGCCGAACAAGATCCTATTTCCCCTTTTTATTTGTTGGTTAGATTTGATCTATTTTTACCTTTTGTTTCCGGAGTCAAACAGATCCCGCTTAGAATAGTTTAATCACTAAAAAATAAAAAATAAGAAATATATAATAAATTAATAAATTAATTATGATAATTAATTTAATATATAATTAATAAAATTAATTAATTTAATTAATTTAATTAGAATAAATTAATTATATTTATTAATCTTAATTAATCTTAAATTAATCATTCAATTAAATTAGTTATTATAATTAATTAATTTAAAATTGTTTACTTTTCTTAATTAAGTCAAAATTGTCTTTTATTCTTATTTTAATTTTATCCAAAACTTTTCTGTGATTAAGCAATTTAGTCTAGAAGTTTTAAATAATTTCAAATTAGTCCTTTCGATTTCAAATTTGACACCCAATCAGTCCCTTAACTTTTCATTTGTTGCCATTGTGCATTCATGTTCTTGATTTTGTTCATTTCAGTCCAAAAGTTTTAAAATGATGCAATTTTGTCTATTCATTTTTTAAGCTTGCTTATTAAGACCTAAAAAAAAAAAAGTTGAATTAAAACCCAATTTTAAAGTCTGCAACTGTGTTTTATATGAAAGATTTTTATATAAAAGATTGTGAGGAGTACGTATGCTCTTTCTTACATTTAATCAAACCCCCAAATCTCAATATTTGTGTAGACATGTTTTAGGTAACTTGTCTCACCTTATAATTTAGATGAGTAGTGACTCTATTTTTATACATTTTACACTTAATTTTTCATCATTTTTCATAATTTTGAAATTTTAAATGATTGTCAACAGTTATAAAAGGGGAAGACCTATGCTTCTATTCCATCATTATCTGTTCGGAGCTAAGGGCCTGTTTGGTGTGGATTATTGGAGCTTCAGCTTTTGGACACTATTCATGTCTCATGCATTTAAATTTCCCTCTCAAAAACTTACACTTTTAAATATTTTTTTAACCTCAAAAAGCTCTTAAACAGTAAAAGCTCAAAAGTTTCAAATCCAAACTTTTCATAAACTCTCTTTTTACTTACTTTTCACTTACTTTTTCACTTTTCTAAAAGCTAAAGCTCTATTTTCCCTCCAATAAAAATTTAAACTTATCACTCATAACAGTACTAAAAAAGCTAAAGCTCCTACCAGCCACACCAAACAGGCTCTAAATTAACAAGGCTTTACATATTTTGGTAAGTTTTTCCCTATTGCATTATTTTACATCATGATTCAACATTTCTAGAAAAAGAACTATACTTGTTAATCATAAGCTCTAGCATAGGCTCAAAAGCAATTTTGAGATTTCAAAAACTTTGATTATTATTGGAGTAGTGGCATAAAAGCTGTGATGTTGTTATCACAAAACAGCAAAATGGTGCAGTAAAAAGCTACATTTATGGGGCAAAATGTGCAACAATAAAGCTGCTTCAATGGACGAAAGAAAATGCAGCAATTGATGCATTATGGAAGGAAATGAAATGCAAATGCAAATGGAGGCTACAAATTAATTAACAAAACTGAAACATTAATGTGATAGTTTTCAATGTACTTTTTTATGTTAGTTTATGCATTGCAATCCTCGATTTAAATGTTACAATAGATTTTGTAGAAAATATATAACCATAGGGAAGGTAGGTGAAAAATACTATTTTTATGTTGAATTTTCTGCTATAAATGGGCAAACATGTTAATGGAAATATGAGAGAGTTGGAAAGCAAATTCTCCTTCCTTTTTGGGTTGGGTGAATGTCCTGCACCCTTCCTTGGTTATGTAAAATTCATGTTCCAAGTTCTGCTCTGCTTACTCTCCTCCAAGTCCTCTCTCAACCCTTTCTTCTTACCTCAAATATCTAACAATTATGAGTTAAATTAAGTTTTAAACCTTTTGCTCTATATAGATAATCAAACTAACTTATTAATTTCCCATGAAAAAAATTAAGTTTTTCTAATTTGCTTCTTTTCCTTTGCTAAAAGGTAAAGAAGATATTGGAGATTAGATTGGATCAACAATTACTGTATAAAGTTGCACGAGGCAATATTAGCCGTGAACACTTGGAAAAAGAATTGGAAAATGTCCAAGACCCAATTGGACGTCCATTACTGGACATTGTTGATCAATTGACCCCCGGTGGGAACTCACTCCTTCGTGCAGCTGCACGCTCTGGTAGAAAAGACATAACTAAATATCTGGCTGAAAAGTTTCCCCACCTCATTTTTCAAACAAATTATGCTGGTGATACTGTACTTCATTCTGCTGCTAAAGCTGGAAAGGCAGAGACGATCGAAGTTCTTCTCCAATTTTATACTAATCCCACATCAAGCTTGACAGACGGTGTTCCCCTGCTGAGGATGAAGAACGTAGAAGGAAACACTGCTCTGCATAAGGTTGTGATCCAGTACAACTTTGCTGCCAACTATGACAAAAGGGAGAGTTACTGTGCTGTCATAGCAAGGATGGTTTCTATAGACCCTCAACTAGCGTACATTGCTGACAAAGAGGGAAAATCTCCCTTATGCTTGGTTGTTGAAACCACTGATTTGAAGATTGTTCAGTGTCTCTTGGAATATCCTCTGCTTGTAGTTGCGGATTGCCAACAACTACCCGAAGGAAAGTCTCCGGTGCATGCTGCCATTAAGTTGAAGTTAAAGAATAATGGTAAATTACACATCTTTTATTTGCTAGTTTATGTATTTTAAATAAATTCTTCTTTGACAAATTAAAAATTTTTTTTAAGAGAAAAATTTGAATTTAAAAGTGTCATAGGAGAGTTAAGACCACTAAATGGCCCCAGTAAATAAAATCGACCTCTATACTAAAAGATACAAATTTGCTTTTATAAAATCTGCTTTTGGCTTGTCATATTTTTTTTTCTTTTTGTACATATATAAAATGATATAACTAACTTTTACAAATAATATTTAATGCCATGCACGGTTTTGTGATGCTTTTTATTTTATTACATAAGATTGTTCATGTAGCATTTTCCTTAATGTTGCCATTTATTTCAGATCTGTTGAGTTAAATGCTACATAGAAGGCCAAAGTTAATAGACTCAACAAATGGGAACGGGTGAAAAGCACTGCATTGTGCAGCATCCATAGGTAACATGGGAGCAATAGAGTTCCTATTACAAAATTATCCTCAAACAATTAACCAAGGGGACAATGAGGGTCACTATGCTCTTCATGTTGCTTGTGAAAGCGGTTATGTCATTTAACAAATTGTTCAACCAGTGGTCAGATACATCAGAATACCTTCACAACAAATGCCAAAATGTTCTTCACATTGCGGCCAAGAACGGTAAAGACTATATGGTGAGGCACATAGTTAAAGATAAAAAATTTGGGTCTCAACTTGTAAATGCCAAAGACTTTGAGGGAAATACACCCTTGCACTTGGCAGCCATGCATGGTCATTCTTTAGTTGTGGGTACTCTGCTATTGACTGGGAAATGTGACTCCCAAATTTTGAATCAAGAAGGCTTCACAGCCTATGAAGTTGCTAAGCAGCGAGCTGGAGACCCAATGGATCTAGAACACAAATGGTATCTTATTAATTAGTTTTTATTTTTATGTTTTTGGGTTAAGCATCTGTTTATTTCGTTTAAAAGCAAACCATCTATGTAGAGACCATAGGAAATTTATGAAAAGTTAATTTTCCTAAGTGCAAAAATCAAACCACTTAGGGTGGGTTTGGAATTTGATGATGTTTCAAATATCACCATCCATTTACACTTTACACAGTTGACATATAAAATCCGTTTTTAATTTAGGATTTGTTGTGATGTTTATATGATAGTACTATTTGTATTTTTGGTAATATCTTATATGTGTACTTATTGAATGCAATCTTTCTTAATACATATAGGGGCAACGAAATATACAGAGCAATAAGCAGGGCAATCTGCAAACCAATGAGCAACAAATGTGCAGCGTGAAGATGTCTCTTCAAAGAATACAAAACGACCAGATTCAACTGACTCGGTAAGATTAGTTAATTATGAGAAAGTTCTTTATTCAAAAGATGATTATTTCATGATAAAATATCGATGAAATAACTATTCTATGAAACCAAATATGACCTTATATTATGGTTGATCGTTAGAGTGCATGGTGGTAAATAAAAGCATATATATCTTAAATCTCACATGATTCTTTACAGGTCAAATTTCTTTAAAAAACGTGTTCATTGTTGCGCATACAGATGATGGCATTGTCTATATTGTTTTTATTACAACTATTCAAAATCTTATGTGGTCATCATTAGCAACATCGGATGAAAAGGTTGCATCATGAAATGAAAATAAAGAGAGCAAATAAGGAGGATATCAAGGACAGGATCAATGCTCTTATTGTGGTTGCAACACTTATTGCTGGTACAGCCTTTCAAGCTGCTGTCCAAATGCCTGAAAATGGCGATGATAGGGGTAAAAGCTCTAAAACCAGTAATGGGCTCCTAACCCCAGCCCAGCCCCAGCCCGAACCACATTTCCCCCATCCACCAGGTTTAAACGTTTCATTGTTGATCAATTAGACTTAACACACTCACAAATATTCACCTTCTTCATCTCTTTATCTATGAACCTCTCCATTTTCACTGCCATCACCTTATGTTGGGTCCAACTTCTTGATGTCAATTTTTCTGCTTTCTTCGTTTGGCAAGCATCAAGTTTGGTAGGGATATCCCTGAACTTCGTTTGCATTGCTTTCAGGTTCACAATGTTGATAAGAATTAAGGAATTTGGTCTTAATTACACCACTGTCATGATTGTCTTGGAATCCTTGTTTATTCTTGTGCTGACAATGTTCACAAGTCCGCTATTCATCCCTTTTAGACTCAAGTATCTGTTTGTCCGAGGTCTCTATGTCATTTTCTTCGTTGGTTACTTCATTGTTCATAGACTCTTGGATTGTTGTCTCTACCGATTACAGAAAGCCTAGCATAGCCCTTCATGTCACTTCCACAAGCTATATATGGAAATATATGTTGTTAATATATAATGATTTTAAAAACAACTTGTTGGTATGAGTGAGAGGAGCTTGGTTCCCTTAAGTAAGATCTCGAGTTCAAGTATTGTGAATAAAAAAACAAACGCTAGGAGAGCTTCCTCTTATATGGGGTCTGACCTGATTCAATTTCGAATTAATTAGGACATAATGTGGTTTCTAGATACCAAGAGGTTAGTATAAAAAATATATATATATATATATAGTGGTTTTTTGTGCAAAACTACATGAGAATGCTGCATTGTTGATATGGCAGGAACATTTATTCCTCCTTTTGAAAGAGATGAAGCAGAAGCTCCACTGCACGGATGTATTTCATTGTGGTGGAAAGTAGAAGCTTCACTTTCTAGAGGTTTGATTTTGCAGTTTTAGAGTTCTTATGAGATGTTGTGATTTTTCTTTCTATAACATGGGTGTTCAAACCTTGGTTCCATTAATCTCATAGGATGTAGTTATGCTTGGAGTACTGTTCTATGATGGTGTGTTAGTTTTTTGCTATAAAATGTGCTTAATTGTTATGTTGAATGGTTGTTAAATTGTAGAGGTTTTGAGTTGGTCTTAGTTTGGTTTTCAAAGTAGATGTTGATGTTGTTATGTGAAATTTTCTTATATTTGTGAGTAGCATTCTCATTGATTGGGCTAGATTTTTGGGCCACTCTTTTCATTTCTTTGGCAAAAACCTAAACAATCAATGCATCACTAGGATTGCCCAACTAAAAATGCAAAGAGCACTTAATTACCACGAGACACTGAATAATAACATAGCAAATTAATAATGCTCCTATAATGAAGTTTTACCCTCATTCAACTTGTGCTTTTCTTAAATTTGTATCCAATATATATATATATATTTGCAAAGATTGATATATGTTTTGTTTCAATATATTTCACAATACACTTATTAAGAATTATTATTTTCAAATTTAAATTTAAAGTGAAAAAAATTTTAATTACAAAATTTAATAATTGAATCAATAAGTGTTAGTATGTTAAATGGAAGGTCCCAATTACCATTCTATTTTTTTACTTCAAATTTATCCCCAATTTCATTGCTGCTCTTTGATATTTTTGAGGTAAACAAAATTTTTTTCCTACTTTAATACTGTGGTTATACATTCTTCTTCTTTTAAAAAAAAATTATCTTTATTTTTTTTATCTAATTCTTAAAAGTAATATAGGTAAACACAAAAATTGTTTCCTAATCTTAATGTTAGAAAAAAAAAATACAACAATTATTTTGAGGATGATGGAATATAATTTTTATTGTAAGAAACACTAATTACTTTATTCATTCCAAAATAATTGTTATTTTTTTATTTTAAATTAATTTTATATTTTAATCCTGTTATTATCCTTTTACTTCAATTAATTCTACAATAAAAAGTCAATTAATATCTTTTAACTATCCCAAAATAATTTATATTGTTTTTTATTTTTTTTTTAAATTAAAGATTTATAGCCAATTTATGTGTTTACTTATTTTATCCTTAAAAAAAATGATAAGAAGAAATAACTCTTGATAGGATAATAATTAAAGTAAAAGGATAAAAAAAGGGTTATAGTAGGGAAAAAAAATATTTGTCTACATTGAAAAATAAAGAAATGACAATTAATTTGAGACAAAATTTTTAAAAAAATGATAATTATTTTAGAACAGAAAAAATAACGATATGTTTGGCTTAAGAGGAAAGGGAAAGGAGGGGTGACAATTCCTTTATTGGTTAGTGAAAATTTTGAAGGGTAAGGGAGGGAACAAAGTCTTTAATTTATCTTTTGTTTTTAACTATTTTACCTATCCAAATGAGGGAAAGGCAAGGAAATGGAATGATGTTGCATCCTTTTATTCTCCTCTTTTCCCCTTCCCTCTCTTTTCTTTTATTTCCTTCAAACCAAACATACAATAAATGAATATTCTTAGAAGAATAGAAAAGATTGGTACACCCTTCAACTTGACAAACTTTTCCACACTTGCTTGGTTTAGCTATTAAATATAATAGAAGTATAGCTAATTTAATTAATTTTTGTATTTCATATGCATGATTGTATTTTTAAGTTTGTTTGTTTTTAAATTTCATACAAAAAAAATTATTTTTTAATAAATTCAGTATATAGTGTGTTGAATTAAAGAGTGTACCCAATCACTGTCCTAGAGAAAGTTCTTATTTTACAATTTGAACTATACTAAATTACAAAATAACAACAATTGGATAAGAATAAGAACAACACCATATCAAGAGAAAAGCAAAGGAAAGAAACAATCTAAAACGTAGCACCGCATTTTGAAAGGCCTTCCATCTCTAAAGTGAATACATTAATACCCCCTACCTTAAAGATGCCCAATATAATTTTTGCTTAAATGATAACAACTAATGAAGAAATGAATTAATACATAAGCAAATTGCTTTACTTTGTTTTTACTTTTTGTAGGTTTTGTTTGACAACACTTCTCGATACTTTATCTTTTTGTTTTTATGCCTTTTTACTATTTTAAAAATATATAAAATGTTAATTAAAATAGATATTAAATATATAAAATATATTTTATATACTTTTAGGGTTTTTTTTAATCAAAAAATCCAAATAGAAGATATATTATTAAGGAATATAACATATACTCCAAAACAAAAGTACAAACCTAAAACTAAGTTTCAAATACAATCACTTTACAAATAAATAAATTAGTATAATACTGCTTAATGTGACCTAAAAATAAAAAATAAAACCAAACCATGACTCTTTTTAGCACTTTTTAACTTTTCAAAAACTTTTGTGGTGTTAAACAATGGCTTTCATACAGTCCATAGGCCTTGATATCCAATTTTGTCAAGAGAACACACTAGTATTTTAGCCGTAAAAAAGATTATGTCTATATAGACTCCAACAATGACTCCTCAAACATCATATTTGCCTCGAACACCTTCATATTCCTTCAATACCAATGAACCAAACAACCAAAAAAATGAGTGTCACTAAATCCTTCATTCGTTCACCACTTATGCCATGCAATACATAATGCTCTGCCAACCCAAATATATCATTTGGCAAGACACTCTACAAATCCCTCCACCCCAAAACTTCATCCACACTAACCACATCCCTTTACACTAACAAAAGATATGATAAAGCTACTCCACTCCCTTATTACATAACCCACAACCAACATCCCCACCCAAGAAAACAAACCCTCTTTTGCATAAATTCTCCTCTGTTGGCAACATATTCAAAATAATCTCCATCCAAAAACACTCAATTTAGAAGGAACATGCTTACACCAAATAATCCTACACCATTTCTTATAAAGAATACAATTTTTAGGTGTTAAAAAGTTATAGGTAGTCTTCACAAAATATAAACCATCACCGCTATGAAGCCACCTCCAAGAATCAACGTTATCGGTCCTTACCTTTACCACATTAAACAACTCCCTAATTTGCTCTTCCTCACCACTAGCCCTTCCTACATTTTGACCTCCATTTGCAGCCCTATACCCAATTCCCACTACTCCAAAAATCCATATCCTTCACCAACCCCTCCTTTTCTGTTGTTAATATGAACAACTGCAGAAATAAATTTTTTAAAGGTTTATCACCCACCTACTTATCACCCAAAAAATCCACACAATTTTCATCCCCGACCTTCCATTTAAAGTCCTTAATTAATATTAAACCCGACCTTTTAGACCCTTTACCAACACTCATGATATGCTTTGACACTTGAGACATATTCAAAGATCCAAATGAAATAATATCTGCCTCCTTCCTACCACCATAATAATTCTCCCAAATCACTCTCTTTCATAAACCCTTTATCCCATCACCTAATCTAAACCACCATTTACCCAATAAAGTCCAATTCCTCCTCTCTAAATCAACCACCCCCAATCCCCCTTCTTCTTTCCATACAAATATAATCCCAATTGATCCATGCAATCTTCTTCTACAAGTTTGCCCCACCAAAAGAAATTCCTTTGAATTTTAATCATCTCAACAAGTACATATTAAGAAATTTTAAATAAATACGTAACAAATATACTATTAAAATGTTAAAAGATTAAAAACTTACAAATGTGGTTACATGGTAGCATTGTCAAACTAAGCCATACTTATATTATCAAACTAGAAGGCTCTAGAACCTAAATGGTTCATTTAGAAAAAGAAGGCATGTGCTAACCCAACTCACAACACAAGATCAAAGTATCATACAACCCATAAAGGCCCATACCAAAAAAAATAGACTTTTAACAAGTACACTAATTAAGATGCTTTAATCAATAATTCAAAACAAGTAGAATTATAGTCAATATAAAAAAGAAAATTAATCTCTTCAATCTTTTTTTAGTTGTCCTAAAAATTCAATTTGATATAAATTAACTTGATAATTTTACTTATATAGCAAACTAATGATAATTAAAAAGTTTTTTTGTGATCTCTATATATAATTTTTTTTTTTTGATCAAGGGCAATTTTGAGATAGGAGAAAGGGATTGAACCTAGCCCAAAAGGCTGGGGACACACATTATTGACCAATTGACCTGAAAGGTCAGGTGTGTCTTTATAAAAAATTATTTAGTCAAACTTTATACAAAAATCAAATAAGGATAATTAAATCAAATATAAGAGTGCCATAATTAAGGAAAAAGCTATACGCACAAGACACAATGTTTATTATATAGTATATTGTATACAACAAGCCATGATGGTGATGTGATATGTATAACTAACTCTTTTTATTCAAGTATTCATTTGTAATATTATATTCATTATTCATTTAATGTTATACCATATTATGTAATGCACAAGATAATGTGACATATCGATCCCCATGTCTCAACCTAATGGTCATGACCCTTTGTTAGGTGGGGATCTCCTCTCGTGGGTTGCGTCTTCAAACCCCATGGATGACGTTTCTCCCTCCCCAAATTGCCCTGTACAGAAAAAAAAAAAAAAAAAGAAGAAAAAAAAGAAAAGAAAAGAAAGATAACGTGACATATCTAGAAAGACATATCTAGAAAGTCCATGGTGTTGGTAGAATATATGGATTCACATGGAATCTTTTCCTATGGTAGTTGCTTTAACAACCCTAACCCTCATTCTTAATGAAACATGATTGAAGAATAAACATGACATCGTGCATGCTTATGTTTAATTACAATATGTAGATTACGCCGTTAGAAGATGGTACCATTAATTGCTTCGGTTTTCGCTGTATGAGCCCTCGTTGCTACTAAGCTGATTCGCAAATAATGCTGTAAATTGTCGAGTTAGAGTTGGACTCATAAACTTGAGTTTTACAATGGTACCAAAAACAAGCAATATATAATCCAAGTTCACAAACTTTGTGTGGGAACACGAGTTTCAATAGAGTGTATTTGAATTTGGGTGTCTAAATTCAAATACACCATTTGTTTTTACAATTTAAGGGTGTGATTGAATTTATACAAAATGCGTGTATTTTAAGTCATGCATTTCAATTTCAAAGGCAAAAAATGCATGTATTTAAAAACATTCTCTTACCCATAGATTCACAATGTACTTCAACATCTGTCTTTGTTTTCTCCCTTTTTTCTCCTTTGGAATACCATAATTTGAATTTTATCTTTCTGAAAGGCAATGGTTTCTTATAGTTCTATGCTCAAAGAAGGCTTCTCACCCAGCTTCGGGCTTCTGACTCCATCTCTATGATGCTGCTATTCACGATTGGTTTTGTTAGTTATGCTTTCTTTTTTCAGGGATAATGATTTCTAGTAGTCATTCTTTGCTAAGGGTTTTTATTTTTTTGGCCTAGTATGACAAGTCGGTTGAAAAGGAATGCCTGTAAGTGTTCGTTAAAATGCTCACAAGAAGCAAAAAATGGTTGGCCAAGGAGAAACAATGGAGTACGTAGTATGTTTACTATAAATGGCCTGCTAACTGTTTGTTAGAATGTCTGAATGAATTGGATTAGTAAAATTCAATTTCAAATTCATGATATTTATCCTTCTCCTTCTCCTTTCTTTTAGGTTCTAATGAACAACAACAATTACTAACTGACCATGTCCTATTGGTGGACAAACTCAATTTCAATAAGCAAAACATACAAACCCTTGATTGAAAGAATCACTACATCTCAATTAATTTCAACAGTCTGACTTAAAAATCCCATAATGATGAGAATCTAACCGTGAATTTAGGGCACAAAATTACAAATTATATATTCAAATGAAAAAGGGCAGTGTTTTTAGATAAGAAAAACAATAATAATAAGACTCATGTGAGTGAGTTCTCTTTGAAAATTTTCAATATTGTCCCAATATGTGGGTGTATTTATACATACATATATATACTGATATTGAAAATGCATCAAAATTAAAATATTCTTTCGAAAATTGAGTGGACAAGCGAAGCCACGGTTGAAAATTTTGAATAGACCAAATGGGCACGTGAGGCTTAAGCATGGAAACAAAGGAGCGCTTTGATAAAAATTCTCTTTGGAGGTATGCAGGGATATCCTGCATTGTATATAGCAAATCATACAAATTATCCAAACTTAAAATGATTTCTTGGTACCTAAACATAAACTGTTGTTAGAAATCATTCCCCAAACTTGATGTAGGTACCAGTACATCATCCCTTAACTTTTTTATTTTAGATAAAGTGGAATGCTCAGTGCATTTAGTGTAAGTAATATATTTTAAATTTGAGTAATAGGCATGCAGATGAAATAAGTTAAAGAATGAAAAAAAATTATCTTATATTGTATAATTCAAAATAAAAAAAAAAGTAAATAAAAGAAAAAGTTGTTGGTGTTGGTGATGAACTGATGATATTAGGAATTCTTGTAGTAAACTCAGTTTGATTTGGTAGTATTTTCATGTTTTTAGTCATTTTTAGTTCGTTTTGCCGACTAATGCATATTTAAGGAGATACTCCCCCCCTTTCTAAAATAATAGTCATTTTTTGATTTTGAGTTTGTTCCACATTAATTGTTATTTTTTTATTTTTAAAGATAAAAAAATATTTTTTTCTCAATTTTAACTCTATTATTATCTATTTATTTTAATTAATTA